ACGGTTTCGGGTTACTTATACTGAAGGAGGTAAAGCCCTGTCCCGATAGCAAAATGATAAAACTTCTTACATTTGATAACTTGTTTCCGCCACTACGACATTTTCGCTAAAACTCGTAGTAGAATGACGACGGCTATCACGTTTTTCCCGCCAAAATGACGCTGGTTCACACGCGAGCACTACTTAGTATTGAGAAAATTACGTACTCGTAGTCGCCCTCATCTCAGAAAGCTCTCTATTATCACACACGGAATTAAAAACAACGTACAGAAGTAAACACTACCATATTCAGTTCATACTGAAGAACTGATCCTAGATCAGCCGCTCAAATATAGACAATGCATATTTTATATCTAGCCAGATTTTTGACTACGTTGACTGCCAAACAGACCTCTTAATCCTTCAAGCAGTTTTTCTCGGCCAAAGATTATATTATCTCTAATTCAAAGTGGTTACAGTAAATTGTTGTTGCTCGAAATATCTATATGTCGTAACTGTCCATCAGTAGGATGCCTAAAATGTGTGCACTTCCACAATTGGTTTCGGCTCTATTTAATCCAAGCCAAAATAATAAAATAAAAGTCAGGCACCAGTGCTTTTTCTCCTATCCTTTTTCCTCCCCCTTGTTTTTTCTATTTTTCCTTTGCTTTTCCTTTGCTAGTGTTGTTTTTGAGATTATCGGGCGCCAAAACCCCTGCCTTTTGGCCCTTCACTTTCTAACTCAAGAATGCAAGTGGTTGCAAAGTGTGCTATCTAAGGTCCGTGGGTAAGAAATCGGCTAGACATCATCAGTTAAGCTCGTGAACAGTAGTATGAATTAAACGCAAGGTATGATCCCGAAAATAAGGCCATCCCCCTTTTTTTTTCGTTTAGCGTCGAATTGGGTCGGTCGGTCGAATTAAAAATAAAAGCTAAAAAAAAAGTCACAAGAAGTCTCGGAATAGGAGGCCCCGGTAACCCAGGACGACGTTAAAAGTTAACATTCACATATTTGGATTAACAAAATACACAATATACTGTAAAAAAATGTTCATGTCTTTGTTCCCATTTTTCTCTAAGCTGTTACTATGCTCATTTTTCATTATTTCAAGTGAAAAATGGTTCAACTACGTAGTTACATTATTTTTTTTTTGAAAAAGCCAAAAATTTGGGTCGGTCGGACGACGCTAAACGGAGAAAAAAAAGAGGATGGCCTTGTAACAATGAATGTAAAGTTCTTTCAGTCTTGGGGCAGACTGAGCAGTTTGTGGGAAAATTAAACTGTGGAATCCTTCACAGTTCGGGAGAAACCACGTTCAAATTTATCAAGTTCATAAAAGATGTTGGCAACTGTCGAGAAAGAACGGCATAATAGTGAGTCCCTGACGAAAATTTAATTTTTTCTGTGAACTCCTGTGCCAGTCACGCCACAGGAGGTCTGTACCATTATTTAAAGGGCGATTTTTGGTGTTCTAATAACACAGGTATAAAGATAAAATCAATTATAATGGCTATATAGTTTTAGTGGTAATCAACGAAACGTATCTCTTATTAAATGTTTTTATTTGCGACAGTACGTGAATTACAAACCTAACGAAAACGTTCGGAATTAATTTGTTTGTTCAGTCTTATTTGGATATTTCCTCTTTTTAATTTTGCTGATAAGATTCTTCAGCTGGAAGTATAGCAAAGACTAGAGTAGCCAAAAAACGCATTCTTCAACTTACAGTTCCTCGATTGTTTTTGGACTGGTTTTCGGCCAAGGTCAGTTTACATAGGAATGGCTAAAATTGATTTTTGCAACATGAAGTGTATATTTTCTAGCTAATTGGATGTAATGAAGCAGCTTGTTTTTCGCGCATGCGCATAGGCCTTTTTTACGGATCTCTTTTGATCTTCCTTTCTCGCTCTCGTTTTGGTTTTTTACCTTTCATTTTATAGCCATATTTGTCGCCTTCTCTATCTTCTTTCTTTCGCACGGTTTTCTAGGAGAGAGACAGAATTAATCTGCAAAGAGCAGTACGTAGGCGAATAGCGAAATTGGCAGTCTTTCAAAATGTTACTTGGTTTTTTGTGCGTAATCCTGTCAGGATTGGTCAGAATTTTGAAAACGAGGTTTCGCAGAAAGACTATCCTTGCTGATGTTGCTGCTTTCCAAATTATTAGCTTAAACTGAATCTAACTGAGTCCAGGAATAAAAATATGCATCAGTCTTTCAAAATGGCCACTAAAACGACCAAAGCGGTAATCACTAATAAGACCTTTTGTTACTGTTTGTTACGTGTTATAAGTGCTTTACAGCACGTTACAAACAGTATATAACAGATACGGTTCTGGAACTATTGTAATTTCTTGCCAAGATATTAAGCACGCAAATGTCGTAACGAGATTACCATAAGATGAAATTTTAAAAACGCCATTTCTTTCGAAATTATACAATTTGTGACATTTTAATTGAATGTTTACTTAGTTAAGGTGACAGATTCGTGTTTGCATTTTCCCACATTGTGATTTTCAATAGTTAATACTACCAACGATTAAAAAATGTTCATTACTAGTAATACTCAATCAACTCATAAAGCACCATTACGAATGGATAGAAATAATAGCAAAGAAATTAATTTGGCTAAACCAATTCGAGTCAAAAGAAACATTTTTCCTGTAATATGATATTCGAAAGACCATTCCTCACAAACGTAAACACCTTACGTTTTTTAAAATAACGGAGCTTAATATCTTATTTCAACTTTTTAAAAAGTCGTAAGAACAATCAAATTCCTTCTTGCAGCTTCTTGTCATAACAACGCTTTATGAAACAGGATAAAAAAAAGAAGAAGAAATGGGAGATAGCAGGTACCGAACCCAGTCCCTTCGGCTCCTAAGGTCACGTGTTACTGCACGTACGAGAACAATAGAAATGACCATTCATTCATTCATTCATTCATTCATTCATTCAATCATTCGTTCATTCTTAAACCGACGATAGCATACAGCCTTACTGGCTATGAGCCAGTAAGCTCAAAAACGGGATGCTACATGACAAGTGAATATTTATTAACAATTATTCTTCGAGCCCAAATGGGCTCTTAGTCAATAGCCCACGAGGTCGAAGGCCGAATGGGCTATTGACTCAGACGCCATGAGGGCGAGAGGAATAATTGTTTTAGTAAAATCCAACTAGTCGGTCAAAAGTATCAAGACAAAACAACTTTAGGTAGCAAAACGATTCAGCCGCCATTGTTTGGGTTTCAAAGCCGGCGCTTTTCGCTACTAGTAGGCTATAACATATAGCCTAGTAGAAGGTCGACCAATCAGGACGCAACATTGATATTAGACCACTAGTTGGATTTTACTAATATAGCTTATCCGTTTTCAGCAGCGATTGAATTAACTTTCGATTTTGTTTTATTAACCTTTGCCTTTGCCTTTTTTTTCAGCTGAAACACTTCTACTCACAGGTAGCTCATGCCCATGCATGCTTGTACCTTTGTCGTACATGAATTGGCCGCCTACACCTGTGTAAACATAGGGAGTGTACCATAATTTCAGTTGGGCCTTTCTACATTGCGTTATAACAATGGTGGATCCAGGGGATAGCCCCGGGGCCCCCGGCGCCCCTTTATTTTAGACCAAAGTGAGGCCAGAAGAGCCGAGAAAAAATTTTTTTGAGACCGGGCCCCTGGGGGTCTGGATGACCCCCCCCATCCCCGCCCGCGCCCCCCCTCCCACCGCGCCCGTACGCCCCGCCCCCACACCGATCGCCACCCATACAGCACTCTCAACGAAGATCACCCCCCGAAACCCCGCTCCTCCTACGTGCCATCGCAACACAGACCACACTCGCCTATTATCACAACACATTACAAGCATAATAAACAAAAACATAATCANTATTCCGATAACATTTTGGGAATGGAAAGGCATGTTGGGTTTTAATCCTGTTACTCCTAGAGGGGAAATTATACTGTTATTAAAGGGTCTCAATGGGGTTAACTGTCAGCCGTCAAACAGCCTAAAAGTTAACTGTCAACCATTAAAAAAGGTTATATTTTACCCTCAACCGTCATAAATGCAGATTAATGTTAACTGTCAAAAACTCTTAGGGTATCTCAAATTTCACTATTTCAGCTGATTTTCACAGACTTCGGGCTCCTAAAGAATATCTAAACTGAAAAAAATTAGTTCCTATATTGTCAAAAACACACTCTCTAGACATTACAAGACTTTACAACTTACTTATATATGAAAATATTTCAAAATCTTAAGGTATCAGCCACCCTTCAGGACCGTCCGCGCGCGAATCGCTGTAGCGTTAGTTGTTTTTATAAAAACCCCTATAAACCATATATTTTTTAAAAGCTTAATAATTCCAGATTATGGATTTGAACTAACAAAAACGATTTACTCAAATGTGTTTCGAAATTGGAACGCTTTGTGTAAAAGTACACGTCTCTATAAATCATGTTCCACTCCCGCCGGAAATAAACGGAAGAAAACAATTAACACCGCATTCGCTTCTCAACACGTTCCACTAAAAAACCGTGTCTCAGATTTTTGACAAGCGCGTTTGTTTTTCTTTTATTAACAAATGAAGTTGGGGAAGGCAATTAGTCAACACTCCCTGTGGAAAAAAAGCTCTAGCTTTAAAATGAAAAGGAGTATTAAAATTCGCAGACACGGTTTTGTAGAAGAGATATATGGCATCACTCTGGCCAAATTTTAGGCAAATTGATTGAAAGGCTGGCGACTTGGAGTTCAAAACGTACAAGTCGATCGGCGAAATTTGCGTTCGGAGATACAATAGAAAATACATTTTTGGCAGCATCCTACCTGGAATGAGATTATAACACCTGAATGTTTATTCTGATTGATATCAGAGATGGATCAATTTTCTCTAACAATAGGACTTTGACAGGTAACATGTGACAGGAACAAACTTTCGCGGCAAGCAAGTGAACAGTTTAATTCTCCGTTTGAAAACTTCCACTCTTTTACACCACGAGAAGCACGGTTTAATTCTTTCACGAGCAAAAGTTTTGCCTCTCCTTCGATCTTTTTTGTATGATCCGCCCAGGCGTTTTTGTTGATCGGCGCCAGGCCAAGGAAACTAAAAAACTTTGAAGGCGCCGAATGTCCGCCACCGATTGCTCGAAGGCCAAGAACTGAGGCCCGGTTATTTCAAACGCTCTGCTCTTCTCGGAAGAATTAAAAACAGAATTTGTCTTGTGCGACGGACAGCTTTCATTCTCGCACTGGATTCTCCAGGTAGAACCAAGTCCATGCTTAGTCGCTACACTTTCCATGACTTGGACTATTCCCTGGCAAAATCGACAAGATACAGACTCGTCCATTTTCTCAAGCAGCTTTTTGCTCGATACGATAGCTCGACCTCTTATTGTTTTCCACGTTCCATCGGCAGATGGGGTCGATGAGCTTAACTGGCTTTCTTCATCTGGCTCTTCAAGCTGGATTTTGGAATGGCTTGCACTCTCAGCAACTGCAGTATTTTGGCTTTTCTGAATATCCAACCCCTCGAGCCACTTCTCTTGCTCATAAAATGAGCCTTTGTCGCTCTCTGCCAATTTTGCGGCCCATTCTTTGTCAAACTCGCTCTTCGATTTCTTTTTCGCTCTCGGTTTCGATGACGAAAACGGACACGACCTTTTCTTTTTTGGGGGGCGGCATTTTCACCGAAGCAAACGCTAAATCTAAAGGCTATAAACAACGCGAAGACAATTCGCACGTGTTGTGTCGAAGCACGCACTCGGTATCACGTTACTAGTTAACAGGCAAGTTAATTGATATATAAAACGAGTATGAAAGATCTTGTCAACGATCAATTAAGGTAATTAACGAGAAAAAATCTTTTACCCCCGATATCTTTCGACAGAAATGATATTTTCTTCTAATTTTTTTTTTCAAAGAAAGCTCTCAAGCATATCTATTTGAAAACGTTGAAACCTCAAATATGGAAAAATGTCAATTTTAAGGGTGGCTGATACCTTAAGTGAGCGAAGATAAATTTACAGACGTTTGTATGGTAAGGGACAACTGGGCAAGGCCCACACCATATAAACGTCTGTAAAATTTAACGACTTTAAGGAACTATAAATATCTTCTTTAGTTTTCAACAAATCACTTTCAAACTTGGCAAACTTACTAATTTAAAGGTGGTCTTTGTAGCGGAGTTGATGGATTTTTCCTAAATGGTCCATGTCAAAAGTTGAAAATGCCGCGGACGGGTCTTGGGTAAACCATAATTCGAATCAAGCAGTTAACTTAAAAAATGCTTCCCCTTTTAAAGCCTTAAAATTTAGTGCTAGTCCAATAATCTTGCGGCTTTTTCTTGTAAATCGACATTTGGGAAAAAAAGTGTCAAATGCTTGGACAAATTTTGTATTTTAAAAAAAAGGATCTGGAAGTCCGGGGTTCAAGCCTCGCCCGTCGCGTTGTTTCCTAAGACAAGGAACTTTACTCCACTTTGTCTCTCTTTACCCAGGTGTATAAACGGGTACCGGCGACATACTGCTGGGAAGTAACCCTGCGATGGACTAGCTTGCCTTCCAGCGGGAGCAATACTCTTAGGCATGTTTCATGTTAAGGAAACCGGGATAAGCTCCGGTCGTTTGGACCTTTGGATCGTGTGCGCTTTAACCTTTACCCTTACCTATATATCGTTTAATAACAAAAGCCTAATTAATTTCGCGCTATGTTTGCTCAAATGTTTTACTTTTTTTATTTGCTGAGTGTTTAGCTTTCGAAAAACACAATATTCTAATGCATAATATTCTATTAGATACTGAGTACAATGTTTCTTATTCCAGAACGATCCTAGTTTGCAATTCATCTACTCTTTAAACTGTTACTTGTAACTATGGCAACCACTCTGACAGCTCCAATCTTTTTATCCAAACTGAGGGAAGCGGGAAGGACCTCGTGGACCGTCGTCAAGCATACATGTCTTTAGGATCTTTTTGATGAAGCCCCCTAGGCCGCAACCTCTCTTTCTGTTTCCCCAATGGCCTTGGAACCCAATGAACTTAAACTCGCCGCCGTATTTGCCATTAGGATCGTACCGAACGGGCTTCAATTTATTCCACGTGTGCCAGCTTGTACCACTACTGCACTCATCCTGCAGCCACTGCCCTGTAACTGGAATTTTCTTGTACTTGTGTTTTCCAGAACTCGGCCAGATTCCGTGTGAACCCTTGGCACTGTAGACTATTGCATGAGTACCGCCATACATACCCAGCGTTCTACTCCCCTTCTTGAACTTACCACCTTGCCAGAGGAACTCACCAACATACTTCTTCGTAATTTTTTGGCTGTGGGTCGACAGATAGATGGAGTAGATTTGGTAGTCGGTGTTGACTTTTCGAAAACGAACTATCACTTTCTCCCAGTCTCCAACGTGGTGCCCAAATGTTGAATATCCTCCAACGCAACGACCCCACACAAGGCGCCCAATGCAGGCCCGCTTCCCGCGATTGTACGGAAAGAACAACCAGTAGGCGATATCCAAGAAATTGTTTTGCTCTCGATAGATGACGTACACTGGCACGCCACTCGGATCTTGACCCCGAAACACAGTTGGGTCAGTGCAGGAAGGGCAGCTAATACTCTGTTTGGTGGTGAGGTAACTGTTTCCATTGCATCTCTGGAGGTTGTAGACTGTTAAGCGCGTGGGCTTTGGTTGGCTACTGCACCCTTCCATCTTAGTTTGTCCCAAGAAGTAGTCAACACTAGATGGCCGAAACTCCTCTTTCTCAGCAAGTTTTACCAACGGAGCCCAATTGTATATCAGCTCAGCTATCTTGCTTGGAACGCCGGGATAGGCACAAAAACTCGTGGAAAGTGTGAGGAGAAGGACAGCAAACTCTTTGATTGGCATTGTGTACCTATAAAAGTAAATTAAAAGTAAATAAATCATAGCTTGAACGAAAGAGCTTTCATCAGTGACTAATGTATTTGCGCTTTCAACTTTACCATATTCCCTGTTAACCTGTAAATTTTATTATAAAATATTTATTGAAAATATTTCTTCGTTTTGATTGACTTTCACTCCCCGGCTAATTCTTAAGACGGACGCTTTTTCTACCCTGAAAAGAATTTAAGGATCAACGGGAACTCGGTGCTAAACTCTCGATAAAACTGGGGAAACAAGACTCAAATCATGTGGCAACTCGCTTCCGGGGGAGAGTCGTCACTTTTCTGTAGGGCCGGGATCAACCACTAACTGGTACAGCAGTAGATTAAACAGGACTAAGCTTTGGTTCCAAGCTGTTACAACAGCTTTTCATTCTTTAGTGGATCAAATGGCAATAAGTCAGACAGTACAGGGCGAAAAAAAAAAACGATCTGTTTCAAAAAATTGCAAGACAGCAAAGCCTTTCATATTCAAAACTCACCTCTTACCTCTATTTAACTAACAACTTAATGAAAAATATATTCGCAAATAAATATAGCTAAATTGCAATTAAAACGAGGTACAACGGTACGAAAGGCGTTACTATAAATAGACGTTATCTGGTTGTAAGATCACTAAAGATGGACTAAAGTTAAATAACCATCAGGCATTAATTATTCTTATAAAGATCAACATTGAAATAAAATGTGTACAGTTCAAAAGATTAACTGGCAATTAGTTTTGTTTGTTAAGGAACACCATTATTCAGAAATTAAAATTAATCATTCTTTTAAAGTTCAACATTGAAATAAAATGTGTACAGTTGAAAAGACTAACTGGCAATTTTAGTTTTGTTTGTTAAGGAACACTGTTGGCTTTTCTACGATTATTACTTAGCGAACACAAAGCAAATTAAACAAAAGACCGTGATAAAATGGCACCACCCTTTTTGCGGAACTAAAACATCGATATCTCAACGTAAATTCAGCTTAATTACGGCTAAAACAAATTCAAAGCGAATATTTTAAAGCTAGATATGAAATTCGAGGCAAACAAAGAATACATTGAAAAATCTCTCATTACCGCATTCCTTTCACCTTACTAAATTTCGACGTCCTCGTGAAAGTGCTGAATTATAAAATACGTATAACGCTTGCACACTGAAATAGGGCACTGATGAAGAATAGCTTCAATTTCGTATTAAACTGATGAATCAATGATAGAACTGTGAACTTTGATCTCACTTTGATCTGTCACAATTTGCTTGTATACTTTGTCTCTCTAAGATATATCTTTGAGGCACAACTTGAAATTAGCTGGTTAGACTAAACGGTACTTAAACATCAATGAGTGACATGACAATTGCAATTCTATGTATGAATTCTTTTTCGTGTTTCGTCTGCGAACTATGTGAACTATAACCTGATTACCTGGAACGGTGTTTTTTTCTACACTTATACCTTATACTTAACATTGATCTATCAGTGCTGAAATAACGTTCCTTGGGTGTGGCGGAAGCTGCTTCACAAGTATGGATCGAAATAGTCATTCCTTTATCTCTCTCTGAACAGGTGCTTATGTCGTTGTGCAATGGATTCACGTGGGACTTCTTTTGGGACAAGAATTCGAGCTTTAGTGTAGAACTGCTTCGGGGAACTTCATAACCCATGTTAATGCTAGAAAATTGGCCCCTCTTGTCATAGGTAGAAACTGTTTAATAATTCTCTTGTTTGACAGGCTGAGGCGGGTCTCTCATTGTCTAAGATTTGTGACGTTAGGTTTTTAGGGTGTTTTTTGTCTTTAACTCTCACGAAATGCGCGGCGTTGCGCTGGATAAATAGACAGATAATCGACGGGATAATTCGAATAACTCAAGCTCGGTATTGAACACATTGCTGGGCTGCGTGGCCAACGTGACAAACAACGCTAGAGGTACAGGATTGTTAGTAACTTGTCCGTAGAGCAAAGCAGAAATCACTTCAACAGATCGAGCTAGAACTGGAACTCTTCAAATATGTTATATCTTCTCACGTAGTTAGCTCGTTGACAACTCAGGTAATTCAGCATGGTTCACTTCTCTTGGCCTGACGTAATTCAGCTCTGTTGGTTCGATCGAGGTAAATCGCAGAGAACGTACAAGCTCGCTTATATGGGGTCTGGACATGCTAATACTGTTCAAATGTTATGTTCGGTAAGTTCATCCAACCCTGTGCTTGGCCCTGCCATGAGTGGAAGGGTAACTACCGTTCACTCGTACTCGTTACGAAGCTGCCGGAACTATGATAACAAAATGTGTAAGACAAAAAGATTGTCAGAATTTGTATCATTTGAACTATTTAGATTTTTTGTCCTAAGATAAATATTGTGTAATTTGCGCACCATCCTATTATCCAGCTCAGCTCTTAGCTACAAGGGGTTCTGAATAAACCACTCCACTCTACTCTACTCTTCTGTGACTAAAATTACATTCACAGCAAAATACACAACTTATATCATCGTAGTTAAAAACGAATGTGATATGTCTTAAGTGAGCAAAGATTTAGCTTCGCAAAGTTTAGAAAATTCACAGACGTTCTTATGTTGAGGGGCAACTCGGCGAGACCCACACCATACAAACGTCTGTAAAATTTCGCTACATCTTTGAGGAACTCAGTATCTTCGTTAGTTTTCAACAAATTACTTCAAACATGGCAATCTTACTAATTTAAGGGCGCTCTTTCAAGCGGAGTTGATGGATTTTTCCTAACTGGTCCGTATCAAAAGTTGAAAATACCGTGGAAGGGTTTATTTGAGTAAACCTTAATTCGAATCAAGCTGTTAGCTTAAAAAACGTTTTTCGTGGTCAAGATCCGAGTATGGTGCCAGAGCAAAACAATTTCTTGGATATCGCCTACTGGCTGTTCAGTTTTCGTACAATCGCGGGAAGCGGGCCTGCATTGGGCTTTTTCTGTGGGGTCGTTGCTTTGGAAGATATTCAACATTTGGACACCAGGTTGGAGACTGGGAGAAAGTGATAGTTCGTTTTCGAAAAGTCAGCACCAACTACCAGATCTACTCCATCCATCTGTCCACCCACAACCAAGAAATAACAAATAAGGATGTTGGCGAGTTTCATTGGCAACGTGGTATGTTCAAGAAGGGGAGTAGAACGCTGGGTATCAGTATGGCCGTACTCATGCAATAGTCTACTGCGCCTAAGGTTCTCATGGGTTTTGGCCGAATCCTAGAAAACACAAGTACAAGAAAATTCCAGTTTTTGGGCAGTGGCTGGAGGATGAATGCAGCAGTGGTACAAGTTGGCA